GAAAATAAATTCTCAAATATATAATGATTGACTAAACTCCCGATAGCCCTAGGAGCACTGGGCAGGAATGTCGATATGGCTGCTTTATTCCTTTTAATTACTCAGTATACATATTTACAGCCCTGGTATTGATTAGCATTTGCCAGATAGATAACTCTTGGCAGACAGCCCTGAATTCCCCTTTGATTGTAACCATAGCTTAAAGTGACCACATTCATTAAAATGCATTTTGTTAGTGTTTTTAAACAGGGCTGCCAGTGGGTTAGGTACTGATCCCATGGGTTAAAGTTTTGTAGGTTAAAGCATGTTGCAAAATCTGTGATGCTACTTGCAATGAAGTAGCTTGTTTGGCACTCAGTGAAAAGCTCACACACGAACAATGAATTGGGTGAGGTATCTGAAAGCAGCTAGTGTTTATGGAACTATATGTCAGTTCTTTCAGGGGATGAGAAGGAGAGAAAATTGGTGATTTAAAAAAATCTTAACAGTGGGTTTGGTTTGGATATTTCCTATGTGTCCATGGGTTTCTGCATGTGTCAGATACATGGCTGACCAAAATTAGAAAAAATCATTATGAGGATTAGCAATTAAATGATACGTAGAAAGACATTAATTAGCATACCTTTATAGTGCCCGAACATCTGGACCTTATAATAGACTTCACGGAGGAGTGAAATCAATCTGTTGGTTAGAACAACGTGGAGAGTAAAACGAGGAATATTCAGAACAACAAATGAACTCACAGGGTTGCTGTGTGACTTGCTATGGATGGCCACACATTTTACATCTTCAGATTATTTTCCATGACTACATATTGAAGTTTGCAAGGCAAAATGAGGGGAATCTTTCTGCTCCAGACTCTTTGTGTTGATGGTACAACGTGAAACATTGTGTATTTGTTGTTGTAGAATTGCTACTGCAGTTCCTAAAGAAATAGGTTGCTGCACAGAAACGGATGGTGTAACTTACAGCAAAACACTAATACTGCTGTTCATCTCCTCAGGCCATACCATGTATTGTCATTCTTGGAACAAGTTGCAGACTGGATTATGGAGATTTGATTATTCTGATGATTATTTATTGAGATGGTAAATGAGTGTAGTAAAAATGTTGGTAGTTAATTTTTTGTATGAAAGTCATTACCGCTTTATTAAAGCAACTAAAAGCTGTTTCCTAAGAGAATGGAATGCATTACCAATGAAATACTGCTTGACTCATCACAGAGGAAATACAAAAATAAAAAGATACATTCTTCAGCACAGAACGAGGCCTCTCTTTTTATGAATGCCACTTTCCCTACTCTCTCCCTGCCTAATCTCAGATTGATGTACCTAAACTCTCCCGGAATAGGTTAGTGTGTATCTGCACCATGAAGAGAGTGTGTACCCCATACCCAACAATGGAAGCCATATATACCGAATGGGAAATTCTCAGTTGTTAACATTGGAAATGCCTAAGTGAAGTGATAGGTTTCTGCCTGTGCAGGATACCTGGTTGACCAAAACAAAAGCTTTTTCCCTATATCCCTTAACATTTCACACATAAAACACAAATCACAATGACAGTAAAATCCTGTGAAGTGCTTTGAGACATCTCGATGCTCACATCTTCCACATGTGAAAGGCGCTATATAAATGTAAATTTGTTGTATATAAGCATTATATCAAATAAAGATTATTATTACTGCTTCTAATTTGTTTATCCAGTTCCCTTTGAATGATCTATAGCTCCAGCCTCAAGACCAGTTGTGGTAATGAATTCAATACACTAACAACTGTTTGAATGAAGAAATTCATTTAACCTTCCCTTCAATTATATTAATAGCAATTCTAAGACTTTGCGACTTGTTAGCAATTTGAGGAAAGTTCTACCCTAGTTACACTGTTGTGCCTCTTCAGAATTTTAAACACTGGAGAAACTGCTGAGACATTGAAAGTAGTGCAGGTGGAATATATTAGGATCATTTCCGTTCTCCTTAACTCACATTCTGAGCTTGTTTTAGTGCCTTGAACACCATCCATTTCCTGCTGTAAAAGTTTTTTGTGATAATTGATCTTATTTTACTGCTTTAAAAGTTATTTGGCAATGATTTCTTCAAGTAAGCCAAAGATACTCCTCCCTGTAACTCTCATTGAGATGTGGCAATTGATTATCAAACCGCCACAAACTGTGTTGTATGAAAAATGCATCCATGGCACATATATTAATAAATGGAGACTTGCAAAATGAGGAAATCTCCTTGGTGCTTGCCTCCAAGGCAGCATTTCCAATTCATGGCTAGTAATTAGTAGCTTTCGCTGATGTTTAACATTTTCACCAACACGAGATGAGAGAAGAACATCCATCTCTAATATAAACTGTATATAAGGATGTGATGGCAACGTTTTGGCCATTCTCTAATACTTCCCAGCAGGGTATGATAAATTTTTAAATAATTACTGAATGTATTTGGCGCCTCCTGGCAGCTGGATTTCAGGAGCTAAATAGGCTTGACTCATCACAGAGGAAATACAAAAATGATCCATGATCTCTGTGTAAGCAAATTTTTAATGAGCAGTGAAGTAGTTCTGTATCAATTGTGTTATGATCGCAGTTGTTGAAGTTCATTTCATTTTACCAGAAATTATGCAACAACAATATTTTGGCAAATTGGTTTTGATTTTACTGGATGTGCTGGTCACATGCTATTGGCATAATTTTGAAAAGGGGAGCGCAACTGAAATCCGATACAACTTTAAAACCCATAGAGAACTGTACTTAATAAAATCTGGGGGAAACTGCAATCAACATGGTGTTCAGATGGAGTTTGTTTGGTTAAGGAAATTCGGGTATCTTTTTTCCACCTCACTTTGATGATTGCCACACTGAACATTCCATAAAATTGTGGATAATAATAATCCTTGCATTTGACGTAGCGCCTTCTCACGTCTTTGGGACGTCTCAAAGCGCTTCACAGTATATACTGTAAAGTGAATGGACTGTATATTTTGTGGACAGAATTTCAGTGTATGCGCTTGATGTGCATTATGGACAGACCTTTCCTCCAAAATTCTCTGCATAACAATCCCTCCTGAGGATTAAATTGGCTATTAGGCTATGATGGGGTGAATTGTGTATGGATTCCAATGAGTTATTCTTGCCTTTTCCCCACAATTTACAAACTATGTGATTTATTGTTACAATGTGACAAACTATGAGTCTTACACAGTGTATTGTGAAAAACCATGAGCATATGGTGGAGTTGTTCCTGTGAACATATTGAGTGGATTTTTGTTGAGTCATAATGGTTCTGAATGTTTTTTTACTTGTTTTCCTCTACACTGTATGTACTTTCTGATGTCTGTTGGAATTGTCATGTTTCAAAGTGCTGGGGGTGCAAAAAGACTGTTCTTAATCCATTGTGGTGCAGGATTAATAAATACAAGAAGAGGATGTTAATATATTTGAAACACAATTTAGTTTTTGACACACTTCCCATTGTTTTGTTCCCTAACTAACTTATTACGACTTGCCCTTCCTAAGGCTGCCATTCCAAAGAGCAAAAGAAGAACATCTGTGCATGTGTGGTGTAACAGCCCTAAGATGCTTAGTGATGTTTGTGATTATTCTCTCAATTCTTTTTAATAGTGCATATATGCACAGATTATCGTTGACTCTTTCTATGTTTTGCTTTCAGAGGCCATGATCTCTGTGTAAGCAAAGTTTTAATGAGCAGTGAAGCGGTTTTGCATCAATTGTGTTATGACCGTAGTTGTTGACGTTCATTCCATCTTACCACATATTATGCAACAACAATAATTTGGCAAATTGGTTTTAATTTTACTGGATTTGCTGGTCACATGCTGTTGGCGTAACTTTGAAAAGGGGAGCGCAACTGAAATCCGATACAATTTTAAAACCCATAGAGAACTGTACTTAATAAAATCTGGGAGAAACTGTGCAATCAACATGGTGTTCAGATGGAGCTTGTTTGGTTAAGGAAATTAGAGTATCTTTTTCCTTGACTTGTTCAGGCTGTCTGGTTTTCATTTCTGGTTGAGCCATTGGAGAATTTCTTTAATGCCTTGTCAAGAAGCAAAGGAAGGAAGCAAAGCCAACTTTAAGCTTTCACCATCTCCTCAGCCAGAAAAAGACCAATTGCTTCATTGCTTGATTCTCAGGACTGATGTGTTTTTTTCAGCGTAGTTATTCTCTGTACAGTTCAGCCATAATCCGCCACATGCAAAAAAAATGCAGATTACAAAGGGGCAAGTGCATTTTCCAACACAGATTTTGGTTTAAATTTGTGAAAAATTGCAACCCATGGCGAGGGAATCTTCAGCCTTGTGGAGGAAGGCAGTTAGATAGGTGCAGTATTGGACTTCATAGGGGCATTGAGCTCAGTGCAAGGAATGGCCAAGAGAAGCTTGTGTTTTCACATCAGAAGGAACTCTCAGGTATTATAGCTCTTCTACAAATATATGCTTCTCTGTTATCCAAGTGTTTATTGCCAATTATTAGGTTTCTCTACATTTACTGTGAGGAAAATGAATTGTAAAATATTCAGGTTTATTTACTTTATTTACACCATTTTAGTGGGAAGAATTTCATTCTAGTTCTGCCCATAATTCTTTGCAGAAAATGAGATCTGCTTTTAGGTTTTATTGCCTTGCGATGCGGTTCTATTCTGACCCTGTGCTACAATGGGCCTCAGTGTCCTGCATTAGTGAGGGGGGAAACCGGCCAGAGATTTCACTCCTAGTTGAGACCAAGTGACTTTCTCCTAGAGCTTCATATGTGTGGATGCTGGATTCTCACGGGTCCAACACTTCCTGCATGGCTCACATGTTTGGGCAAAGTACCAGAGGGACCTGGAACAAATGGAGCTGTACCCCAGTGTAAAGAAAACACGTGAAACACCTTTAGGAGAAGATAAACTTAGAGGAAAGGAAACTTTACAAAATCCTTTCCAGATGAGGATATACAGCAAACCATTCATTATTTTTAAAATCTTTCAACAGATTATGGAAGAAACAATCACACAAATAGCATGGCCATCTAAACTGAAGATTGGAGCAAAGTCCAAGAAAGGTAAGGAATTGTAAATGGGGATGGGGAGCTTAATTACATAAGAAAATATTGACACTCTCATCATTTAAAGTTAAGTTGACAGTCTGTCAGGTCTATAAGATTTCCCCTATCTGTCTTTTTGCATTAATGGAAATTCCAAGAGATTGTCATTTGTGAAACATCCCAGTGGATCTTTAAGATGGTTTTGAAATTCTGAAGCAAGAACTGCTACTTATTGCTTACAGTGTTGACGTATATGACAGTGTAACATTGATCCTGTGGGAAGTGACAGACTAATCAACAAGGCAGAGAATGAAATGCATTTTAACTGGCGTGCTACAGTTCTGGACTTTAATTGCTGCCAACAACACACACCTCTGCTTGCCTGCTGGTGCGCAATATCAATCACTGAAATAGTTGTCACTGCCTTGGAATAGTCATCTGGTGCAGTTGCAGTCCCACTTACACCACAGAAGTGGAAAGAGTTAGTTAAAGTCCAGTGTGAAGAATAGGTATATGAATTCCATTCCCCTAACAAATGGCTGCAGATCTCTCTCCACTTATCCTCTTTCCACGGCCAGTGTGACCTTCAGAGCAACTCAACAACTGCCCTCGGATGATGCTTAAGGATCAATGGAAACAATCTGAAATAAAATTGTAAACAAAATGCCCAAACCAATCACATGTGTGTAAGTGAAGTATTTTGCCTTTACATTTTATTCGAAGTTTCTTCTGCTGCAACCTGTGCAGTGACCACGGAGACAGGTCCAGGTCGGGGTGGCTTAGGCTCTGGCTTGTGAAACTATAGGAGCAGAATTGTCTGATTCATCTAATGAATTCTACATCCAAACGAAAGGATTAGAGATGTTACAGCAGTGACTGCTGACATTTACAGAACCACGCACACAGAGCTTGAGCCAAGGCTGACAGAGTCAGTATAGAGGAGTTTCAGGCACAAAGTAGATTTCACAATAAAAATGCTTTTGGGTAGTTGATAAGGATTTTATAAAATAATTGTGTGGAAAGAATCCAGCAGGGCACTGGCATTATCATAAAATCTCTGAATCACAAAAGCTATACATAGTGCTTTTTCTCTATTTTTCTGGATACAAAGTATGGTGTGTACCCAGTAGCTGTGTACACAGTAGCCAGGTCAGAGGCTGTCTTTACCTTAGGTGACACTTTCACATTGAGGTCATCTGCTGAGTAATGGCCAGGAGCAGACTCCTTTTATTTTCCTTCTCCATCCAAAGGGCACTGAGCTCAATTATAGTAAGCAGGTTGAGATCAGCTAACTCAACACACATGCCAAGGACTTTCTGTTAGAGAATTGCTCAGCACTGCACTACATTATGTATTAAACCATGGGGGCTGGGGTGGGGGGGAAAGAAACCTTATTCGGCATGCTTTCTGCTGGGTAGATCAGCTTGGTTAGAATTACAGTACAATACCAATTCACATTCATATCATGCCTTTCACATTAGGAAGACGTCCAAGGTGCTGATAAGCCACTTGGGATATGGGTTAGTCTTATATATTTTGTTGTACAGGAAAAATGCTCTATTCCTGAAGACACACAATTTTTTTGTTCCAGCATTATTGTAATCAATCCCTTTGGTTGCTCCACATAATGAATACATAGAGTAGCTTTCTGTGTACAGTGAAACCCAATAAAAGCCTTGCACCATGTCTCACCTTCGAGATTGAGCACTGAGTCTGTTGCTACTCCTCCCAACATCCTAAAATTGAACTGGATTCTTAATAATAATAATAATAATCCTTGCGTTTGATATAGCACTTTGTCACATCTTCGAGACATCTCAAAGCACTTCACAGAATGTACTGTAAAGTATATCTTAACATAAAGCTTAATATTTATCCTATTATCCTATTAATATTAATGCTTTTAAGAGGATTTTATTTCAGCTCAATGAACTCGAAGGAAAGAGCTTTAAACTGACTTTTAAATTGTAAAACGCTAGAGCCTCTTTATTAAAACATGTAATATTCATGCTGTTGCATTACATGAACTGTTTGTAACATGGTGTCTGTTCTGAGATTACCTCTTGCTACTCTAATTCTTAATACTCTAATGTCCTCTTGTTCTCCTGTCTTGGTGAATCATCCTTAACTATTCAAAGATGAACTGCAACATGGTTGTGTGATGTTCGCCTGGTGATTAAAACCAGTCGTGATTTAATATAACAAGCAGTTCATGATGGGCAGGAGCAGCAGAGTGAGACCAGTTGTTTTCACACTCCCACTCAACCCAAAAAAAACACCTGAATGATTGATATGAACAACGCGTTCTGCTCAGTCAGGCTAGGAACATATTTTCTGTACTGACTATGTTAAATGGATCTGAACCAAAAAATGCCCCCAATTCAGGGAGAATCGGTTCCACGTATTCCTCAAGTAACAGTTGTGCTTTGGCATGTTTTATTGTCATTAACTAGCCCATTGCTTTGAAAAACAAGAAGAACTTGTGGATGGAAATTTGTTAATTTCTTATAGTAGATTAGACTATTAGAAGAAACCCATGAATATTCTTTTGACCGTATTTTTGACAGAAAACATGGAAGAGCTAAAGCGATAACACAATGGAAATCTGAAGAGACCCACGCAGGCATTTAGATATTCTGATTGTTTCACTGATTGAAAGGGTTTGTAAATCCCGAGAGTAAGTCTTATAGCTGATCAAGAATCATAAACATTTTCATTGAGAATTCATTCCTACCCTGCTCAGAAAGTTTAGGTTCTGAGGGGAACTGTGGAGGAATTTTACAGCTTGCAAAATATGCAGTACAGTTGTCTTGGAATAGCTCTGGAAAAGGATACATCGTCGTGGAAACAGCTGTTAAAAAAATGTTAAATGTCAGGTTTTAAAGGTTCCTACTCCACTGAAACAAAGTCACTGGTGCAATTTATAAGCTTGGGAACCAAATTCTGACACCCACTGCTGACAACAGCACCTCAGTCCCAATAAAGCAACAGCTTTTCAATTCTGCTCTACTTGTGCATTTTGACACAAGGGGCATACCAGGCTCCTTAGTCCAACTTCCTAGCAGGTAACCATGGGAACTAAAGCACGCTCATTAAAACATGCAGTAAATAATACAAAATAAGGCATCGCAGCAATAGACCATGCTCTGTTTTCACAGCTGTTGCCTCCATGATTGCCTTTAGTTCTGCTGAAGCATTTTTTGAATAATAGTTTTAGTTTTACATCCAGTCTAGCTCATTAATCCAATGCTCTGTTGGTTGTAACTGACAGTCATTGTAAATATTCCTTTGAAGATAGCATTAAAAACCAACACACCTTTTCCTGTGAAGTAATTTAGTTGCAGTGAAACCATATGATATTCTGAAGACGGACTAAAACAATTTTCTGTAAAAGATGCAGCAACTGCATATCGTACCTCGCTGACGTTCTTACTTAACTGTGGAAACATTCAATGCCCATCACATCACACCTGTGGCTTGTAGGCAATGCTATTCACTTTAAATGGAAGGGAAGAAGAAGCAAATTTGTGGGAATAACCTCAATCCCTTTATTTTATGCTTGTTTACATATACAATGGAGTCATGAAACACATTGAAATATACTGAATGAAGTAATCTCAGAGATGATTTGGAGTCCTGTAGCTCAGTGGTTAGAGCACTCGCTTTGCAAGCGAGAGACCTGAGTTCAATTCCAGACAGGGCGAAACCTTGGGCAAGTTTCCTTACTCCACACAGAGCCTAATAATAATCCCTTCAAAACCAAAAACAATAATAAATTGGTCATTTTCAATCTACGACTGTTTGTGGGACATTGCTGTGCGCAATTGGCTGCCGCGTTCGCCCACAAATATACAGTCAATTCACTTTACAGTGTGTTCTGTGAAGCGCTTTGGGACGTCCTCCCGACGTGAAAAGCGCTATATCAAATGCAAGGATTATTATTATTATTATTATTATTATTGCACTTAAGCTCATTTCATATCAAATTTGATAGGATTCATATATGGTTAAGATGTTTTTAAAAAATCAATTTAATGTAATATACTGTAATATTAGTTAATCGTATAGGTTCAAATCCGGCTTCGGATCTTCTTTACACCAGTCTGGGGTAATTTCAGATAAAATTTCCTGGTTTCCTCTCTGGAATATAATATCAACCAATTGCTGTTTGATTAGGGTTGCCTTAACAGCTAATCATCAGGGAACTACTTTTCCAAGTTTAATTAATCCAACAATATGTAAATCACAATAACTTAGATTAAAGAATGATCTTCTGCCCATTTTATCTTATCCTTCAGGGTACCAACTACATGCAATGGTTTTCACATTACAGCAGTATTTCTTAAATGAGCCCGGTGTTATCAAGACTTTTAGGTTATCTAGTCATTCCTCATAGTTTATTCTTTGAAAAATGGAAATTATCTTCATTGCTCACCTCTTTGCATTGCACAATCAGAAATATATATGTGGAATCCTGTAGCTTAGTGGTTAGAGCACTTGCCTCGCAAGCAAGAGGACCTGGGTTTGATTCTCAGGCAGGGCATTGTGCAAGTTTTCTTACTCCACATGCCTCTGTTTACCAAGCAGTAAGTAGGAACCCAGTTGTTAATTGATTGCCGGATCACTTTTACCGGATTCCCTTAAAAAAAATTTGGTCAATCAATCTACGACTATTTGTGGGACACTGCTATGTGCAATTGGCTGCCGTGTTTTGCCCACAAAATGTCCAGTCAATTCACTTTACACTATTTTCTGTGAAGTGCTTTGAGACATCTCGAAGAAGTAATAAGGCGCTATATCAAATGCAAGGATTATTATTATCTATGTCCAGCAATATAAATGTCTAAACTTATGTGGATTTTGGTGTTGTCAAATCTGCAGTTTAAAAAAAAATGTAGTCTATTTTTACCAAATTCAGTTCAATCTTTTGTTGCCATTTATTCATGAGAGTATGATAATTTATAATTACCAACTAATGACAAGCCTCCTTGGGGGACAGGTAATCGGGTCTCCTTGGA